AATATCTTAATTTGTGTTACGAAGATGAGCGAAGGTCTTACGGGTTTGGAAAGACACGAGGGTGAGTAATAAATGACAGAATTTTCATTTTTGGGTGAACTATCCCTTGAAACAAATTTCAAGTTGGTCTAAAGTTGACAGCCACACTTAAATGTTTGCACACAAATTATAAAACGACACTACTATCTGTTAAAACGGGCCTCATCAGTCAGGGAATCGATAGTTCATTGAGGTTTAAGACCCTGTAGAGAAACATAAGGGAAATCTCCGGGCTCTACTGCCCAATAAATCTCTCAGTACGAAGGGTTCATAGCCAAACCAAAGCAGGGGGCCAGTGTGTACTCAAGGAAGTATCTGTTTGTCCACCGGAGCAGTCGCAACAGAACAACAAGGCCCAGGCGTTTTTGGTGAGGGTGGGGGCAGGGCGTGTGAATGGTGCTCAATCACAGCTCAGTATGGAGCGCACAAAGGCCCAGTGAGAGTGAAAGTGAGCCGTAGCCACAGAACACAGAGCTGCTTTTCATGTCTCTGGAAGCCGGGCTGCACAGACCTCTATCCACAGGTAACTCCTACTCTCTGGTTACCTGTTCCCATGGAGCCGTGGTGCTGACGTGATGAGGCACAGAATAGCAGAGGGACGCATTTATCATGCTAAACAAAGAGCACAAACCCTGACAGACACTGAATGGATGGGCTCTCTTCAGAGCACTCAGAGTGTGGACTGGGTTGACATGAAATGTAAGCAGGTAATATTGTTATGGGTTGGGTTACTGTCCAAATAGGTTTCAATAGGGTCTACATCAAGGTCTCAGTTTTAGGGCACTGAGGAATGCTCTTTAATCTTTTGTTCCGTTTCTTCCTGAGTGATTAAGAAAAAGATTTATATTTAAACCTTGAATAGTATTCATATACAGAAGATGTTACTCGTTGGTTATACTGAGCATCGATAGTAAACTTTTCATCCAGTTACTATGGTTAACTAGTTGTCAAAGAACTAGTTTTTATTTATTTTTTTATTTCGTATATATATATTATTTATATATATATATATATATATATTAGCCTATGTATTCTATGTTAACTTTACGTTAACATCCCCTCTAAGAAACATGTCTAATTGAGGACAGATGATTCTGAAACATACAGGCTTTCAGTTTAGACCGATTAGTTCAAACAACTAGTCATTCAAACAACCAACCTTTTAATCGATTTTATAAATACACTGTTTAGCACATCCCTACCCAGTACTTAGCATAGCACAGAAAAAGATCTTCCATTACAATAAACAAACACAAACACACATTTTAGCCATTATACTTCAAACGCACCATGTTGTTTTAGGAAGATCAACAATAGCAGTCAAGCAGCTACCATACGAGTCAAAGAGACAGACCTAATATTCAGTATGTAATGACCTATTCTTGACAGATCACTGACTCAATTCAGCTTGCAAAGGGGCCAACGAAATTACCACTGACTGCCCAGCCGCCACGATGACTAAGGGCTGATTGTCTAAGAGAATTTTTGCCACACTGCCTGCACTAAAAGTAAAAGTGCAGCAATTTTTCGAAAACAGATGAACAATGCGTTGTTATCTGTTATGCTTACAAAGTCCTTGGAATTCAAGATTGGTACATAGGTCAAATAATTCTGAGTTGCGTCTAACAGTGGGCGCATTGTGACGTGCTTATTGCGGCACGTGGCTCTGAGCTCTCGGCCAAGAGACCCTTTGTTTCCCAGAGTACAAATTCCATGAATAAACAGCAAAACATGACACTTTCAGTTCTCGGTCATTAAACAACTGCAATTCACAGGGCGACGAACACGAAAGAGAAACTAAAATGACCAAAAAACAACCAAGTTTCCATCAGAAAACAAAAGCATGATAATAAATTCATAAATGAATGAGTCAAATGCTTTCAAAACACTTCAAATAAATGCAAAAAGCCTAAAAGTAATTAAGTTCTAACAGCGTGCATCAACAACAGTCCCTATGCGTTCCCTGCTTCACCGTGAGGAACAATGAGTCCAATACCTCCTCCCGAGAGAAAGTCTGCTCAGCTTATTTTATCCATCCTCAATACTGTGTGTATTCTCTTCCCGCTGTTCCCTGAATTAATGGGCCCTCTAAAGCCTACATCGAAGCAGAGAGCTGCTAATGGACGTCTAGCTATCTGCAAAACCAACACATCAAAAGTGTATTTCCTATGGGAAGACTCCCGAGAGATTATCCATCAAGTCATCTGTAAGTTAAGACATTCTGCTACAGGATTCACTTCGCTGAAACAGGCAAACCATTTGAACGGGGGCCACTGGAGTCAGTTTTATATTTAAACTGTATAAATATCCACTAAACGAATGCAGTATTACTAAGGAGATCCCTAGACGTCTTGTGATCATTTGCAGGGGTGTGTAATTTGGTGTGAAGGTGGGGTTTTCACCAGGTGTGTTTAAACAAAGCTAGTCAAACTCTAAAGAGACTCTGTCAAATTAATCAAGGGTAATAAAGCTATCCAAGGCTAAAAAAAAAACACTAAGTGAGGCATGGTAATAATCTGTGGAGGTGTGAATACATAGACTCTGTAAAAGAGAGAAAATGGAGGACTTTACTCACCTGTGAATTTTAGACAAATCACAAGTGCTACTCTAAATAGTGACACGTTTTTTGGCTATCAAGCAATCACAATTTTCCAGTGATGAAAAGCTAGCAAAATTCACAGATCCAAAGTACTTTAGTACAGTAATCATAATCAGAAGGTATAAATTGTTAGGGACTGTACAAAATGATTTCACTTTTGACTCCAACTTATAAAACACGCCAAGTTGAAGACATTTTTTGGTAAAGCAAGGAAACCAATGGTTCTAAACTGGTGGCGTGCATTGCAACCCAAAAATGGTTTGCAGGTCTATTCTGAAAAAGTTGTGGATGAATATGCTTATTATTTTTTTTTAAATCTCAAATTATTTGTTGGTGACATCAATACCTCTGTGATTAAAATCAAACTCAACTGTATTTTAATGCAGAGTCTCTAGTCCCTGGTATAGATAATGCAAATGCAATATTTGTCCCAATATCTGGTAAACCACTCTTTGATTGTTGTTTATGAATTTGCATAGTTTTACTATTCAGTTAATGTCATGTTAATAATTGTTCCTATTGTTGTGCCTATGAAGGTCATGTTAATACTAATGCATTCAATGTTTGATTTCAATGACTGAGGTACTTGGGTTGGTTCATTACTTGATGTAAAATGTTAAATATTTGAAAACCACAGATCAAAACTATTAAAAAAAGGTTACACAAGTCAAGATGGTCACATGCACATCAAAAGTTAAGTTACAAATTAAGTCTCAACCCATGAATTGCACCACAGATCATAAAACAATTAGTTAATTATCTTATATGTTAATGGCCTCAGGCCATGCATTCCCAGCTGCCTCACATGGCAACAACATAATGACTGACAATTATTAGCACCCTATTAATGAATGATGATATCCAATATTTGATTTGTATATGGGTCAATGACAAACAAGGATGGGATGTCCAAGATAAAAAGGAGCAATATTTTAAAAATCTTGTTTTTAAATATGTTGCAAGACCTAAGAAATGTAATCACTGTATTCATCGACAAGCAAACAAATTCACCTAATGCCTCCAAAAATGTCAAGTGGTATACCCATCTAACTATTTTAGCACTCAAATTGTTTCCTTGCACCTTAAACACTCAATGTACAAAACAATTGACAATTCTGACTTTGCCTCTCAAAAAATAAAACATAAAAATTACTTTTAAATTAGGAAAGTGAAAAAAAGTCATTTTGCATTGTATTTTTGTATATCATAGGCTATATGATAATTAGACAACAAAAAAGTACACTTCATTGGCCCATGTAAATAAACAAACAATGTAAATGTTTGTTAAATGTCTTTAAATGGTACATTTATTTCATAACATCCACATATTCCGTTTTAACTTCAGAGCAAATTCACACTTGTACCTTTAAGAATAATGAACAAGGTAACCGCACAACAGGATATTTCTGGAAAGGCAGCGTTTCACAAGCAAATGTTTCGTACATCTAGCCGCGCGTGAGTGAGTGTGTGTGTGTGTGTGTGTGTGTGTGTGTGTGTGTGTGTGTGTGTGTGTGTGTGTGTGTGTGTGTGTGTGTGTGTGTGTGTGTGTGTGTGTGTGTGTGTGTGTGTGTGTGTGTGTGTGTGTGTGTGTGTGTGTGTGTGTGTGTGTGTGTGTGTGTGTGTGTGTGTGTGTGTGTGTGTGTGTGTGTGTGTGTGTGTGTGTGTGTGTGTGACATTGCTGTAATGTCTGCGCGTGCACCTGCAGCGATGTCCTTCAGTCATATTTAGCTGCGTGTGTGAGCATTTCAAAGATTAATTTTTAAAACCAGACCACATAGTATTCCCAGAGGATCTGCAATGCGGTCTGCACATCGGTATATATAACTACTATACACATTGCAAACAACGTAGTAATCGGCTAAAACGCCACAACCTGCCGTTGAGAATAGAGCAGAAATCACGCACACGGGTTTGATTCCCAAGCAATGTAACGTTACTCTGTTGTACAAATAGCTGTAGGCTAAAGTCTTGGCCACGGGGTGTTGGCACAGAAGACTCTTGTGTTAAAGGATTGACACTCAAAAATAGCTGTCAAGTGAAGCGGACCCGTAAGGGAGAGTGGACATTTCTCAGCTGACAGGCCACGGCAATTATTTCATGACATCTTTTCAGCATGAGATTTTTAACGAGCTGCGATGTACGGCGATACCGCTGGACGCAACATCCTCACACTGAGATTGAGCGATTAATTCAGATCATTGTCAAGAAACCTTGACCGAAGAGGATACTTACGAGAACATTGATAACCTTTAAAAAATATATATATATTTTTAAATTGTAATAATATCTTCGCATGCCAAAGAATATACACATTTATATATGAACATTTTCATTGTAAATAAAACTAGGTCTGGAATCTTACCTTTGGCTGCCTCCACCGCGCATAATAGTCCTACAAGCAGACCGACTGCAGAAGCCAAAGGTTTCACCCCACGGATCCGCATCCCGTCTTCGTTTTAAAAACAGCGAACGATTTTAACAATGTTATTCTGTCTCCTCTCGCCCGGTAAAATCTGATTTAGCTCGGTGTTGCAAAAATATCCAGAGGATGTATATCTCGGATTAGTGCGGTAGTTTTAAGATGGCTGCCGCCACCGCCGTTCAGCTCTCTTCTCTTTCAATCCCCGTTCAGTCTCTCTC